GTCGATCACTGGAGCAAAAACTCAAGTGAAAGACTGCTGACAACTGCTCAAGTAGCACCAGTAATTTAATCAGGAGAAGGTTTTATAGGGGCTACAGGGACGTACTTCTTTGTGGTACTGATTATTGTTCTGTAAAAAGGAGGCTGTAACTTTAAGCGAGTGGATGAAATCATACATCATGGCCACAGTAAAGCTCATACTTATGCCCCAGAGGTTTTTTTTAGAAATAGGTACAGTTTAGGTGATGTTTTACATCGATAACTAAAAACAGCAGATAGAGGGGTTAAACTCTAATGTTCAACATAGTTTTATCAAAACCTTCTTCTCCTGCTCAAGCCTCTGTTCTCTTCTCTCCNCACCCGATGTTGAGACTATTTAGATCACTTAGATCTCCATGGAAATGATAAAGGACACCAAATGGCTGATTTCCCATGAAATCAGCCACTGGCAACTTTGTCCAAGTCTTGACAAAGTCATCAGCATGTCAATGGCCTCTTCACAATTGTCTTTCACTTCCAATGAAAAAGAGCACCAAAAACTTTTGTCTCAACTATAATGCATGCATGTCAAATCAGTGAGTTCTTCTGAGGTCGATCACTGGAGCAAAAACTCAAGTGAAAGACTGCTGACAACTGCTCAAGTAGCACCAGTAATTTAATCAGGAGAAGGTTTTATAGGGGCTACAGGGACGTACTTCTTTGTGGTACTGATTATTGTTCTGTAAAAAGGAGGCTGTAACTTTAAGCGAGTGGATGAAATCATACATCATGGCCACAGTAAAGCTCATACTTATGCCCCAGAGGTTTTTTTTAGAAATAGGTACAGTTTAGGTGATGTTTTACATCGATAACTAAAAACAGCAGATAGAGGGGTTAAACTCTAATGTTCAACATAGTTTTATCAAAACCTTCTTCTCCTGCTCAAGCCTCTGTTCTCTTCTCTCCTTAAGCCGCTGCTGCAGCCTGCAAGGCAATATTAATATTCAAACTGAAAAAGGAAGTGACAAAGCAAGCAAGGTCATATAAAAAGGAATTCCAGTTATTTTCATCTTCTTTACTAACCATTTAGATTGTACAAAGAAAAAAAGTATGTGGAGGCAACAGCCTCAGTCTCCTCTATACTGAGGGCTCGGGGCCTGCAAACAAGCTACATACCTCTCAGCCTGCTGTTTTTTCTCGTCTTCAGTAAGAGGTTTGATTTCTTCTGTTGACTCGGAAAAGTTGGAATGCCCTGATCTTGCAGCATGCAGCTGAAGAAGAAAAGGACATTACTCTCAGTTGCTCTTCTTCTGCATATACACATGCATTAGTACACACTCCTTAGGTTACATATTTACAAGGAGATCTGAACAACTCTAGAAAGTCTGTTCAGTTTTGTCGGCAAAAATGCATCCTCTTTAGTGTAACCAGGGTTACACATTCAACTGGGAAAATATGGTGGGTAACATGAATGCCCTACTATTTTTTTTCTTTGAAGCTTAAATAGTTTACCTAACGCTTATACAGGAAGTCTTTTTGCCGAAAATGTAGGCTCAAAAATGAGAGTGTGGCTTATTTTCTGGCTGGTTTAGACTAATTACATAATGAATAACCAAATGAACATAACTAAAACCTTTTGTTGATGATCATTTCTTTAATAATAAGCAGTGGAAATTCATGGTTTTTTTAAAGATAATTATGGCCAGAAAAATACATATTTATGTCAAAAATTTAGTCATGGAATAGGCTTAAAACCAACAAGGATAGTCCTTGTTAAAACCAACTTTTTATGAACCAAAAACAAGGATGTTTCATTCATGTGCATACATAACAGCGGGAAAATAAACAAAACATTACCTGAACGTCATTCTCACTTCTCAGTCTTTTACCACAACTGTAAGAAAAAAAGGACCATTAAATAAAATATAGTACTTACTGCAAATCAATGCAGAAAATCACAGTTAACTAAACAATATGTAGTCCAGAAAAATCCATACTCCTCTAAAAATACCAATGTTATAACATGTCTGCAGCGTATATAAAAGACCAGTTTTAAGGGAGTTTATCAAAACCAAACAATACAAAATTAATGTTTTTACTTGCTACAGTGCCCCAAATCAAAAATCAAAAATCCCAACCTTCTCTTCATTAATTAACAATAAAATATACATAGTATTAAATATGTTAAAGTATAAACTGCAGAATGAGATTCACGTATAGGAAGCAAAATAGGATGTCATCTGCAGACAGAAGAAATAGCAATTTCTGGGGAGCAGTTAGAGAGGAAAATGTAAAATTGAATTAAACATGCAAACCCAAGAGAAAAATTCTGGGGTAAGGTGAAGAAAATTTTCTAAAATAATGCAATATACTGCACCCTACGCAAGGTAAAATAATAAAAGATCTATTTACGATCCTTACTCATCACAGACAAGAGATAAAGCTTGTTGAGGTTGTTCTATTGTGTCTGCAGAGTTTGATGACAGTTCAGAATTCTCAACAGGAGTTTTTTCACTTCCACCCTCAGCATCAAGAGTTGTCGTACCACCTTCCAGTGCAAGGAAATAAAATTCATGAGAAAAGTGAGTCGTAACATTTACTAAAAAGGAGGACACCTGAATAACAGAGGATACTTAAAATAAATAGAGAGAACAAATCACTTACTTGCCCCTAAGACATGTCCAGCAGGTGGTTGATAAGGTTTGTCAATATCAGGATCTTCAGAGTGTGCAATAAGCCTAGAAGAGGTATAATATAAGGGCTCACTCCTCCGCAGAGGCCTCTTTGTGTCATGGGGAGACTGGGGAGAGGGAAAAAAGAAAGTGTGCAAGGGATGATGGAGAGGGGAAGAGAGGAAGTGCCACCTTGTCCCTCTCCAATTGATGTCCCCCATGTGCTTGCTATTATTTCAATTATAGCTATTTTAATTGAAATACCCAGTGGGAGCCTCTGCGGAGGAGAGAGGTATAAGGGTCAGCGTTCTGTTGGGTATATCACTGCACAGCTTCTGATCATGAAATTTGACTCCAAAACAGCTCTACAATATGTACTCCAGTTAAATTAAATGAGACGGTAGAAAGTTAAGTTCGAGAATTATATTACTCACCATTCCATAGCAACCTCTAACCCTTTGTTACCCGTCACAGACAGGGCCTTTTCCCTAAAAATTTACGGTTGTTGTCAAATTGATGTATTATTTACTAGAGAAAGAATAGTTGCAGAAGTATGAACATTTATGTTGGGTAAAATTAAAAGCAAACTGCACGCAAAGACAAAGTTACATAACATACTTACACTCTGTTCCTTGGAAACCCCATTTCAACCAGGGTATTTATTTCAGACGACATGTTTCTATATTTTTGACTATTCTTCTACCTTGAAAATTGTTGAAAATCGGGTAGAGTAGCCAACCAGCCGGAAGCCAAATCTACCAGGCGACTCCATTAAATGCGAGGCTACAAAGCAACATTCGGATCACGGCGAATTATGGGAGATGTCAACAAAACGCATAAAATTATACGCACTGTGAGGTCTAAAATTACATGTTCGAAATAAAATGTTCAAAAATTGTCAATAAAAAGTGTAAAATGTTCCAGATCTAAATCACGTTCGAAAAAAGAAAGCCTGCGTACCAACAGCAGACTAACCTTTCGAAGATAAGGCTAGCCTGCGTAGCATGGCGGTTTTGGTTGGGCGCGCAAATTAATAAAATGGGGCGAGGGCAGAGAAACGGCGAGGAGATGCCGCTCGTTTGCGCGCGTTTTTGCGGCTTCGCTGCTCAGTAGGGCTCCCGGAAAAACCGCTATGCTACGCAGACTAAGATATGGCGAGAAAAATATCTGTCGCCTCTGCGCCAGCCTTGCTATGATAATAGAAAATTTTAGCCAATGACGGAAGCGGGAAGGCCATGCATGTTGGTTGCTACATTACGAGTTGTAGCAATCAAGTATGACTTTCATATATACCAGTATAATAAAAGACACAGGTTCGAAACATGAGGAAAAAACACTCTAAATATTGAATTAATTAATTGAAGGTAAGACACTGACTGAACAACAACAGGAGGAAACACCAATGATTAACTGAAAATACAAGTTTATACAAGTCAAAATTACTCCTTAATGTTTATGGTCGCCGAGGGGCGGGAGGGGAAAAAGTCATTAGAGAGAAGTTTACGGCAGATGGCCGGCTGATCTGAGGGCAATTTGCACCACGTGGTCAAGTTTTCCAGTTCTACTTGTCAAGTAATGTTCGTTATATCTACAGAAATATTACTTTCATGTCATCCATAAGAATTATTTTACAGTTTCGACACAGTTTCTATCTGCTCAGACATGATTCTAAACCTCTCTAATACACTAAAATCGTACAGCACACCTTAATCAGCCAATGAGCTTCGAGGATGTCGCATATTAAACTTTGAATATTTATTTTTTTGTGATTGACAATAAGGCCATTCCTTTTTTTCGTTTAGCCTTGAATGCATTTCCTGCTATTTGGTCGGTCGGTCGGATGGAAAAAAAAAATAAAAATAAAAAAAATCACAAGAAGTCTCGGAATAGAAGGCCCTGGTACCCCAAGATGACGATTTACATATTTGGATTAACAAAATGCACAATATGCTGTAAAAAATTGTTCCTGTTTTTCTCTCTGCTGTTACTATGCTCATTTTTCAGGTTAAAAGAATTATTTCAAGTGAAAAATGGTTTAACTATACGTCGTTACTTCTTTTTTTTAAAATGCCAAAAATTTGGGTCGGTCGGACGACGCTAAACGGAGAAAAAAAAGGGGATGGCCTTATGAAAATTTAAACAGTGCTATTTCCATAAAAAGGATAGAACCAAACCGACATCCAACTTCCGCGGAGGCTGATGAGTGCTTCATGGTGTAGCTATTTTTAGAAAGGAAACGTTTTTTTTTTTTTTTCAATTTCAGGATGTCATTGTTCACGCGTTTCAGATCCAAAACTTGAAGGTTATGGCATAAATAAAACAATTCGACAAAAAAGCTTCCTGAGTGAAAATGCTAGCGTATCTAGTATTCAACGGAATTGTCATACTCGCTGCCGTTGTTGGAAATCTGCTGATCATGTTGGTTGTTGCGTTCAACAGATTATTTCACAATGTGAGACACTTTCTCTTGGCAAGCTTGGCGCTCTCCGATTTTATATTTGTGACTTTCGTGCTACTTCCCCGAGTAGTTTCCGTTGCCTACAAAAAATGGATCTTTGGTGAAGGATTTTGTCAAGGAAATGCGTTCCTCGTCCGTGTTTTATACGTTAATACACTTGTTCATCTCTGTGGCGTGTCGTACGACCGATACCAAGCCATAGTCAAGGATCATCTCAACTATGACGGACGCATTACTCTGAAAAAGGTCTTTATCTCGGTCACAATCATGTGGATTTTACCGACTGTGATCTCCCTAGGACCATTTCTTGGTTGGGGAGGTTTTGATTACAAACCAAGCATTTTTGCATGTGGACAGCGTTGGGACCTCGAGACAACTTTTCCGTTTCTAATCTTAGCTTTCATCACGCCAATTCTGATCATTGCGGTGCTTACCTACAAGGTGATGAGGGTTGCACGAAGGCTGCAACGCGAAGTTAACATTCAGCTTGGTAACATGAACCAGGCGGAAAGAGCCCTAGAGATGATGAAAGTTGACGCAGGTTTTGCCAGACAAGCTTCCCGTCAATACTCGCAAGAACTGTGGAGGACGAGGTTCCGTTCAGCCAGTGAAAACATCCTTCATCACGAGCTTTCCGTCAATCCTACATGTTCTCAAGAAAGGCCACTTAGGCGTGCAAGTACTCAGGAACATTTGCGGAATGTCTCAAGCATAAGTCGCAACCATCATTTTATCACAAACAAGGAAGATAATGCGGAAGACACAAATCAGACGGACGCGAACGAGGAAGCAATCCCATCTCCTTGTTTGATGAAAATTCTAAAAGAGTGCAAGGCTTCCACAGATGTCATGATAACTGTCGGGGCTCTTCTGGTTTGCTTTCTTCCTGTGTGGATCAACAACGTTTACTACACCTTTAACAAAGAGCCTTCGCACAGTTCAAGAATTTTCTGGATTCATAGCCTGTACAGTGCAGCCACTTTATGTAACCCACTAATTTATTCAGTTCGTAAAAGAGAATTTAGAAAAGAAGTGAGGAAAATATTAAAGATCTGACTTACGCGGGATTCTTGGCGGATAACGACGTATCAGCAGTGAAGTTTTCTTATTTTTAGTGGTAAAAACAGTTTGCGAGATGGATTGTGTGGCAACAAATAATCATAAATTCTATTTATACTGAAACTGCCGACCAAAAGCGACATACACATTTCAAAGAAGGCTTTTCTTTCATTGCATATAATTATAAAATACAATTTTCTTAATCGATCCAGTTTGACTATTAAGTAACTAAGGACAATGCTCTTTTATGCACTGAAATATCTAGTTAGCTTTATTTTTCTACCGAATTTTGTGAGATTAGAGCCAAGTGCGAGTGTAAGACACCCATCTTTCACGACTTCCTTAGTCCATAAACATGTTTGTATGTCTCCCCACGCTTAGAAGTATTACCGGCTCTTAAAAAGCATTTTCAGCTCGTAAAGTCACACGTAGGAAACTTTGCGTCGTGGTAATCAATCTTGTGTTAAATTAAGCTGTTAAAGTTTCCGTTCAGTCTCTAATCTTTTAATACAATTTTCTTTCAAATAGATAAATTTAGCCTTTGAATTCTTAAATAAGAAAGGTGTCTTTTTTACACATGAACTGCAGCTTGTAATAATGAAATAAAGTTTTAAAAACTTATGTAACTTCGCAAAAAAGGTTACCAAATTTATTTTGTGGATTTTGAAAAAAAAAACATTTCTGGGATAACAAGGGATAGCTTAAGAAATATTATGATCGTGCAATGAGAAAAGTAATTCAACTAATGCACTGTAATTAGGAAATTGACGCAAACGTACGGATAAAAAGAGAGAATTTCACTAAAGTTATGTTTTTGCCTCCTTGCACGGATAGAAAAACTTGTAACAACTAAAAAGAAGAGGTAGTAGAAAAGTGTTAAAGACTTAACTAACTTATTGACGGATACCCAGAGTTACTCGCAAACTTGTTCTGTTTTACGGCAGCTTCACTCAGGGATTCACTTTATCTTGAATATAGCTGTTTGAAAACACATTCGAGTCATTCGGCTCTTATCGATGGCTTCAAGGCTGAAAAATGAGGAATTTAAATTTTTCCCGGATCTTTTTCCTTTACTTTAGTCGGGTGTTCCTCAAAAGAGGATGGGCCCTAAATACACCTATCTACAATTCCAAGTTTCCCTCGGTTCAGTGTTATGAGGACTACTTCGCTCCTTAAACTGCAGTATCACGAGAATAGAGTGTTTTCACATGACTGACGTCGCATCCGCCATATTGGTGTCCCAAAACAATGAAACGGTGGCCATGTTAGTGTCCCAAACTAGTGCTGTGGTAGTCTGAAATGACAGTTGTTTCTCCCCACGCCGCCCTCCTTATAATAGGAAACTCCCTATTGTCTTTTTGCAAGAGTGTTTTGTTTTTACATGATCAATTAATATACAGCTTTATTAACAAGAATCCAATTTTCAGCCCAATACCACTCAATGGTGAGACGTTTTAAAAGCCCGGTGGTGTGGTCAGCCTTTCATGGGATGGGTAGGTAATTTTAAAAGGGTTGATGTTAATTGGGTTAGTCACTGGTGGCGAAAACAAGGGACTTGAAACATCGGTGTCGTGCTCGGTTCCAAGCCTCCTCCGCCGCTCACTCGGATAGCGCGAACTGGGGCGAGGCTGAAGTCGATCATTCTATGAAACGAACTAAATTTACTTAAATAAAATATTGCTATGATAATGTATATTCTGTCTTGTTCGCGAGAAAATTTATTACTTATCATAAGCTGTCAGTTAAAAAGACCATGTGACCAACGAGTAACTCTCTGGCCGAAACCTAGAAAATGGCCGACTTGGAGAAAGAGCTAAACTTCTCAAATGTCTCGTGAAATTTAAGGTCTAGCTAAAAAAAAAATGCATGTTAAATGGCAGTCCTAAAAACGCTCTTAAAATCAGCAAATCCATTATGCAAATTCTTTGCTTTTGACATTTCTGTCATTTAGAGTTTTAATTGGGCCGTCTTTTAATTAAATTAAGTTTACTCTTTCGTAATTTTATATTTTTTATGGTTACTACTTTCATTATTGCGATTAATATATTTTGTGTGTTATTCCGCTACGCTTCTACCGTAATATTATAATTTGACAAAATCACAGCGTTTTAGTAGTATGATTTTCAGTCACAGTCATTGTCCAACACGTCTTACGTTGAAAAAAAAAATGTATCGTTCTTTTTTTGCAAATTACAGTTGGTCGGCAGCCCACTGTCCCAACCTCAAAGCAAACACTGGTTAAATGACTATAATTTAAAATAGTTATTTTCAGAGAGACAGGTGCAAATTGTCAGTCAATAAACGAATTATTCGACCACGGAAAGGCGACAAAAAAACAAAGAGCTAGGTGAGGAAATGACAATCTATTTTATAGTGAACGTGGCTGTTGTTTTCACAGCTTTTGTGGGGAATCTCCTGGTCATACTGGTTGTTACCTTTAACAGAATTTTCCACAAAATGAAACATTTTCTTCTGGCAAGTTTGGCACTGTCCGATTTCATATTTGTGACCTTCATACAGAGGCCTCTTTGTGTCATGGGGAGACTGGGGAGAGGGAAAAAAGAAAGTGTGCAAGGGATGATGGAGAGGGGAAGAGAGGAAGTGCCACCTTGTCCCTCTCCAATTGATGTCCCCCATGTGCTTGCTATTATTTCAATTATAGCTATTTTAATTGAAATACCCAGTGGGAGCCTCTGCGGAGGAGAGAGGTATAAGGGTCAGCGTTCTGTTGGGTATATCACTGCACAGCTTCTGATCATGAAATTTGACTCCAAAACAGCTCTACAATATGTACTCCAGTTAAATTAAATGAGACGGTAGAAAGTTAAGTTCGAGAATTATATTACTCACCATTCCATAGCAACCTCTAACCCTTTGTTACCCGTCACAGACAGGGCCTTTTCCCTAAAAATTTACGGTTGTTGTCAAATTGATGTATTATTTACTAGAGAAAGAATAGTTGCAGAAGTATGAACATTTATGTTGGGTAAAATTAAAAGCAAACTGCACGCAAAGACAAAGTTACATAACATACTTACACTCTGTTCCTTGGAAACCCCATTTCAACCAGGGTATTTATTTCAGACGACATGTTTCTATATTTTTGACTATTCTTCTACCTTGAAAATTGTTGAAAATCGGGTAGAGTAGCCAACCAGCCGGAAGCCAAATCTACCAGGCGACTCCATTAAATGCGAGGCTACAAAGCAACATTCGGATCACGGCGAATTATGGGAGATGTCAACAAAACGCATAAAATTATACGCACTGTGAGGTCTAAAATTACATGTTCGAAATAAAATGTTCAAAAATTGTCAATAAAAAGTGTAAAATGTTCCAGATCTAAATCACGTTCGAAAAAAGAAAGCCTGCGTACCAACAGCAGACTAACCTTTCGAAGATAAGGCTAGCCTGCGTAGCATGGCGGTTTTGGTTGGGCGCGCAAATTAATAAAATGGGGCGAGGGCAGAGAAACGGCGAGGAGATGCCGCTCGTTTGCGCGCGTTTTTGCGGCTTCGCTGCTCAGTAGGGCTCCCGGAAAAACCGCTATGCTACGCAGACTAAGATATGGCGAGAAAAATATCTGTCGCCTCTGCGCCAGCCTTGCTATGATAATAGAAAATTTTAGCCAATGACGGAAGCGGGAAGGCCATGCATGTTGGTTGCTACATTACGAGTTGTAGCAATCAAGTATGACTTTCATATATACCAGTATAATAAAAGACACAGGTTCGAAACATGAGGAAAAAACACTCTAAATATTGAATTAATTAATTGAAGGTAAGACACTGACTGAACAACAACAGGAGGAAACACCAATGATTAACTGAAAATACAAGTTTATACAAGTCAAAATTACTCCTTAATGTTTATGGTCGCCGAGGGGCGGGAGGGGAAGAAGTCATTAGAGAGAAGTTTACGGCAGATGGCCGGCTGATCTGAGGGCAATTTGCACCACGTGGTCAAGTTTTCCAGTTCTACTTGTCAAGTAATGTTCGTTATATCTACAGAAATATTACTTTCATGTCATCCATAAGAATTATTTTACAGTTTCGACACAGTTTCTATCTGCTCAGACATGATTCTAAACCTCTCTAATACACTAAAATCGTACAGCACACCTTAATCAGCCAATGAGCTTCGAGGATGTCGCATATTAAACTTTGAATATTTATTTTTTTGTGATTGACAATAAGGCCATTCCTTTTTTTCGTTTAGCCTTGAATGCATTTCCTGCTATTTGGTCGGTCGGTCGGATGGAAAAAAAAAATAAAAATAAAAAAAATCACAAGAAGTCTCGGAATAGAAGGCCCTGGTACCCCAAGATGACGATTTACATATTTGGATTAACAAAATGCACAATATGCTGTAAAAAATTGTTCCTGTTTTTCTCTCTGCTGTTACTATGCTCATTTTTCAGGTTAAAAGAATTATTTCAAGTGAAAAATGGTTTAACTATACGTCGTTACTTCTTTTTTTTAAAATGCCAAAAATTTGGGTCGGTCGGACGACGCTAAACGGAGAAAAAAAAGGGGATGGCCTTATGAAAATTTAAACAGTGCTATTTCCATAAAAAGGATAGAACCAAACCGAAATCCAACTTCCGCGAAGGCTGATGAGTGCTTCATGGTGTAGCTATTTTTAGAAAGGAAACGTTTTTTTGTTTTTCAATTTCAGGATGTCATTGTTCAAGCGTTTCAGATCCAAAACTTGAAGGTTATGGCATAAATAAAACAATTCGACAAAAAAGCTTCCTGAGTGAAAATGCTAGCGTATCTAGTATTCAACGGAATTGTCATACTCGCTGCCGTTGTTGGAAATCTGCTGATCATGTTGGTTGTTGCGTTCAACAGATTATTTCACAATGTGAGACACTTTCTCTTGGCAAGCTTGGCGCTCTCCGATTTTATATTTGTGACTTTCGTGCTACTTCCCCGAGTAGTTTCCGTTGCCTACAAAAAATGGATCTTTGGTGAAGGATTTTGTCAAGGAAATGCGTTCCTCGTCCGTGTTTTATACGTTAATACACTTGTTCATCTCTGTGGCGTGTCGTACGACCGATACCAAGCCATAGTCAAGGATCATCTCAACTATGACGGACGCATTACTCTGAAAAAGGTCTTTATCTCGGTCACAATCATGTGGATTTTACCGACTGTGATCTCCCTAGGACCATTTCTTGGTTGGGGAGGTTTTGATTACAAACCAAGCATTTTTGCATGTGGACAGCGTTGGGACCTCGAGACAACTTTTCCGTTTCTAATCTTAGCTTTCATCACGCCAATTCTGATCATTTCGGTGCTTACCTACAAGGTGATGAGGGTTGCACAAAGGCTGCAACGCGAAGTTAACATTCAGCTTGGTAACATGAACCAGGCGGAAAGAGCCCTAGAGATGATGAAAGTTGACGCAGGTTTTGCCAGACAAGCTTCCCGTCAATACTCGCAAGAAATGTGGAGGACGAGGTTCCGTTCAGCCAGTGAAAACATCCTTCATCACGAGCTTTCCGTCAATCCTACATGTTCTCAAGAAAGGCCACTTAGGCGTGCAAGTACTCAGGAACATTTGCGGAATGTCTCAAGCATAAGTCGCAACCATCATTTTATCACAAACAAGGAAGATAATGCGGAAGACACAAATCAGACGGACGCGAACGAGGAAGCAATCCCATCTCCTTGTTTGATGAAAATTCTAAAAGAGTGCAAGGCTTCCACAGATGTCATGATAACTGTCGGGGCTCTTCTGGTTTGCTTTCTTCCTGTGTGGATCAACAACGTTTACTACACCTTTAACAAAGAGCCTTCGCACAGTTCAAGAATTTTCTGGATTCATAGCCTGTACAGTGCAGCCACTTTATGTAACCCACTAATTTATTCAGTTCGTAAAAGAGAATTTAGAAAAGAAGTGAGGAAAATATTAAAGATCTGACTTACGCGGGATTCTTGGCGGATAACGACGTATCAGCAGTGAAGTTTTCTTATTTTTAGTGGTAAAAACAGTTTGCGAGATGGATTGTGTGGCAACAAATAATCATAAATTCTATTTATACTGAAACTGCCGACCAAAAGCGACATACACATTTCAAAGAAGGCTTTTCTTTCATTGCATATAATTATAAAATACAATTTTCTTAATCGATCCAGTTTGACTATTAAGTAACTAAGGACAATGCTCTTTTATGCACTGAATTATCTAGTTAGCTTTATTTTTCTACCGAATTTTGTGAGATTAGAGCCAAGTGCGAGTGTAAGACACCCATCTTTCACGACTTCCTTAGTCCATAAACATGTTTGTATGTCTCCCCACGCTTAGAAGTATTACCGGCTCTTAAAAAGCATTTTCAGCTCGTAAAGTCACACGTAGGAAACTTTGCGTCGTGGTAATCAATCTTGTGTTAAATTAAGCTGTTAAAGTTTCCGTTCAGTCTCTAATCTTTTAATAAAATTTTCTTTCAAATAGATAAATTTAGCCTTCGAATTCTTAAATAAGAGAGGTGTCTTTTTTACACATGAACTGCAGCTTGTAATAATGAAATAAAGTTTTAAAAACTTATGTAACTTCGCAAAAAAGGTTACCAAATTTATTTTGTGGATTTTGAAAAAAAAAACATTTCTGGGATAACAAGGGATAGCTTAAGAAATATTATGATCGTGCAATGAGAAAAGTAATTCAACTAATGCACTGTAATTAGGAAATTGACGCAAACGTACGGATAAAAAGAGAGAATTTCACTAAAGTTATGTTTTTGCCTCCTTGCACGGATAGAAAAACTTGTAACAACTAAAAAGAAGAGGTAGTAGAAAAGTGTTAAAGACTTAACTAACTTATTGACGGATACCCAGAGTTACTCGCAAACTTGTTCTGTTTTACGGCAGCTTCACTCAGGGATTCACTTTATCTTGAATATAGGTGTTTGAAAACACATTCGAGTCATTCGGTTCTTATCAGTGGCTTCAAGGCTGAAAAATGAGGAATTTAAATTTTCCCAGGATCTTTTTCCTTTACTTTAGTTGGGTGTTCCTCAAAAGAGGATGGGCCCTAAATACACCTATCTACAATTCAAAGTTTCCCTCGGTTCAGTGTTATGAAGATCACTTCGCTCCTTAAACTGCAGTATCACGAAAAACAGTGTTTTCACATGACTGACGTCGCATCCGCCATATTGGTGTCCCAAAACAATGAAACGGTGGCCATGTTGGTGTCCCAAACTAGTGCTGTGGAAGTGCTGTGGTAGTCTGAAATGACAGTTGTCTCTGCCCCCCACCCCCCTCCGCCTTATAATGGGAAACTCCCTATTGTCTTTTTGTGAGAGTTATTCACATGATCAATTAATATAGAGCTTTGTTATTCAGCCCAATGCCACTCAATGGTGAGACGTTTTAAAACCCCAGTGGTGTGGCCAGCCTTTCATGGGATGGGTGGGTAATTTTAAAGGGGTTGATATCAATTGGGTTGGTCACTAGTGGCGAAAACAAGGTACTTGAAACATCGGTGTCGTGCTCGGTTCCAAGCCTCCTCCTCCGCTCACTCGGATGGCGCGAACTGGGGCGAGGCGGAAGTCGATCATTTTATGAAACGAACTAAATTTACTTAAATAAAATATTGGTATGACAATGTATATTCCGTCTCGTTCGCGAGAAAATTTATTACTTATCATAAGCTGTCAGTTAAAAATACCATGTGACCAACGAGTAACTCTGTGGCCGAAACCTAGAAATGGCCGACTTGGAGAAAGAGCTAAACTTCTCAAATGTCTCGTGAAATTTAAGGTCTAGCTAAAAAAACATGCATGTTAAATGGCAGTCCTGAAAACGCTCTTAAAATCAGCAAATCCATTATGCAAATTTCTTTGTTTTTGACATTTCTGTCATTTAGAGTTTTAATTGGGCCGTCTTTTAACTAAATTAAGTTTACTCTTTCGTAATTTTATATTTTTTATGGCTACTACTTTCATTATTGCGATTAACATATCTTGTGTGTTATTCCGCTACGCTTCTACCGTAATATTATAATTTGAAAAAATCACAGCGTTTTAGTGCTATGATTTTCAGTCACAGTCATTGTCCAACACGTCTTACGTTGAAAAAAAAATGTATCGCTCTTTTTTTGCAAATTACAGTTGGTCTGCAGCTCACTGTCCCAACCTCAAAGCAAACACTGGTTAAAGGACTATAATTTAAAATAGTTATTTTCAGAGAGACAGGTGCAAATTGTCAGTCAATAAACGAATTATTCGACCACGGAAAGGCGACAAAAAATCAAAGAGCTAGGTGAGGAAATGACAATCTATTTTATAGTGAACGTGGCCGTTGTTTTCACAGCTTTTGTGGGGAATCTCCTGGTCATACTGGTTGTTACCTTTAACAGAATTTTCCACAAAATGAAACATTTTCTTCTGGCAAGTTTGGCACTGTCCGATTTCATATTTGTGACCTTCATCCAAATTTCCCGGTTAGTTTCCGTGGCGTACAAAGAATGGATCTTTGGTGAACAGATGTGTCAAGGTACTGCATTTCTCGCTCGAATTCTGTACGTCAACACTTTTTTTCATCTTTGTGCCGTGTCCTACGAACGATACCTAGCCATAGTCAAGGATCATCTCACCTATGACGGCCGCATTACAGCTAGAAAGATCGTCTTATCAACCATTGTACTGTGGATTCTGCCAACTATAATCTCTCTTGGCCCATTTCTTGGCTGGGGAGCTTTCGAGTACAAACCAATAATTTACGCATGCGGACAGCGTTTCGACAGCGAGACAACGTTTCCGTTTTTACTCATGTTCATCGCGCCACTTCTGTTTATTTACCTGTTGAACTACAAAGTGTTTCAAACTGCAAGACGGCTTGAGCGAGAAGTCAGAATTAGGCTTGGTAGCATCAGCGAGATGAATGTTCAAACGACGCCGCAACTTGAGCAATTTACTGATCGAAACGGTATCATTTGTCAGCATCAAGATGAAGGGAACCTCGAGGTTAAGAGTCGGAAAGAAGAGAGTTTTAGAAGGGAACGAGCCGTCACTGAAGAGGTTGCCAGCAAAAACCCATATCGCAAGATGTGGAACTATAAGTTCTGTGGAGCTAAGCAAGTTAACCTCGAGCCTTATCAATCCAGTGCTCAGTATGGTCATATAATGAAGTGCAGTGATTATTACCATCCAGAGACAAACCAGCCACACCCACCGGTAAGGGAACCACACCAAGGTCCCGAAAGAGTCGTTGTTCCAGCTGTTGCTCAGCAACGTAACCAAACGGGTGCAAAGAAAACGCCGGCTTCAGGGGGTTTAGTGAAAATTCTAAAAGAATGCAGAGCCGCTAGAGATGTCATGATTACAGCTGGAGCACTTGTGGTGTGCTTTCTGCCCGTCTGGATCTTTAACATCTACTACATGTTTACAGACGAAGCTCCAAGTAGTGGGGAAATGATACTTGTCAGCAGCTTGTACTGCTCAACAACTATATGTAATCCCATTATTTATTCAGTCCGTACGAAGCAATTTAGACAAGCAGTAAGAAAAATGTTTAAGATATAGCACGAGTAAAGACTTGTAGACTTAGAAGGCGTTGATCTTTGATGGAGCAAATGATTAGACTTTCTAGTCTTCTCGGATAAGGACGAAAAACCGTAGGTCCCGTCTCACAGCTCTTTCACTGATTTGTTCTTGTGGGACGTAAAAGAACCCACATCACTATTCGAAAAGACTAGGGGGCGTAGACCCCGGTGGTGTGGCCAACCTTTACGGGTTGTGGGATTGGGTAGGGATGGCACCTCGCATGGGACCTGAGTCCCGTTCGTGCACATTCCCTCTGGGCAGGACTGTGTCCAGAGAAGCTAGTAAATAAATAAGCCCATGTGGGTGGGATACAGTCTGGCATTATGTGTGCTATGTCTGAGATAGCATTTGTTTTCATTCCTTTCACGGGTTAACAACAAATCGGTCTGCTCCAACTTTATGGGTTTTCATAGCACAGTTGGTAGAGCACTGGGGCGCCAACGCAGAGGCCATGGGTTCGAATCGCGTTGAAGTATCGTTTCAGGTCATAGCACCTCTCCATGTTCCGTCACAAGGAAACACGAACCTTCAGGGCTAGCGCTATAATCATGTAATCACAAAACAGCTGACAATATATCGCCGACTAGTTGTACTGGTGGAAGTTTTTTCTCTTTAGACATCGTCGAGGTTGAGGCCCCCGCAAGCGCAAGGGTATGGTGTCGCGCTCCGCGCTCTGTCGAATTGCCTTTACTTTTTTGGACAGGCTAGATGACAATTCAATGGCAGTAATTTCCTATGGTACCTTTCTTTTTCGCCGTTAAACTATTGAAATCTGAATTTCTGGGCCACTAATACAATGCCTAGGAATTCGATCCAAATGCAGGTGACCTTTTCACTCTTTGATGATTTGTCTGTTATTTCTATCAATGAATCTCTCTCAAGCGCCATTTAAATCGATAATTTTAATTTATACCTTCTTCAATAAATACGATTATAAATATAACTGCGATCATATAACATTAACCTTCAGAATAATATGGATGCTTTAAATTGTTCTTTTCTTTTCTATTAAGATAGCAGCAACGAAGAGATATCTCTTATTAAATGATCTGCATAGCAGTAAATGTAAGAGAGAGTAACTCGGCATGACAAAAAAAATCAATCTTGTCTTTCATAGGCTTCTTTTAAAGGTATGGTTGATTATTTTGTTCTCTCCAGCAAGGAAAGCTCCGCCTTAAAAGAAAAATAAAAAGGGCCATTAGACGCGGCAACGACAGCTACCTCCAGTAATATTTTAGGAAGACAGCGTGATGAGTGAGCGTGGCCGAGCGGTTATAGCTAACGTTGGACTCGAAATCCGGAGGCAGCATGTTCAAGCCACGCCCTAACCTCTAGCTGGATTTGTTCTCGGTTGTTTCCAGTTCAAATCCTTAGCCACGCTTGTATAAGCCAACTGGTTTTACCACTGCAGGCCAGTTGGGATTCTCAACCTTGTTTTGTTTATTTAAATTATTTCTTTCAGTAACTGGCTCGGCCCCACTACCCTTTGGGCAGTAACTACTGCCCAAAGAAAGGAACGTTTTTATTTCTTTTTTTTTTAAGAAGGCAAAGATCACAGCTGGTTTAACATAAAGGTTGTGCTATTAAAATTTGCTATGCTTTAACGTGGTAACCTATTAAACTACGCTAACACCGAGAAAAAATGTGTTAGTTTGCCTATATAAAAAATTATTAGGACTGCTCTCGCCGATACGAGGCCTGTGAGCAGGCTCACTCGAGCGAATTCGAGGAAAATTATTTTGGCGGCATAGCCGCCGTCTAGCGAGGAAAAGTCACTCTTTCTCGGCCCATTTGCGGCTCCGCCGCCAAAAATTTTCCCCGAACACGCACCAGTGAGCCTCTGCTCGCAGGCTATCAATACGTACCTCATTATGAGTTCTACCCATGACCTTCATATAAATCATCACCAAAGTCTCCGGAAGAAGTACTTTGCTGACGTAATCAAAGTACTAACGAGAAAAAGAATAAAACACAATCACACCTGACGGGGAAAGCAATCTGTAATCGAGGTCCCGTCTACGCGTATCCGTATTTTTAGAATCCAGAAGTTATTTTTGCCGATTCAAAAATATTTGTGTACACACGTATCTTTTTCGAATCACTTCCGCTCATCTACGACACGTATCCTTTTCCGTTTGAAAATGGAGATATTTTTATACACGGACTGACCCATCCTTTTAAAAACTGATATCCATTTTTAGTAAAATCCAACTAGTGGTCTGTTATCAATGCTGCGGTTTGATTGGTCGAGCTTCTACTAGGCTATATGTTATAGCCCACTAGTAGCGAAAAGCGCCGGATTTTTGGCGGCAAAAAAGGATTAAGGTTTTGCTTTAAGTTGTTTTGTCTCGATATTTTTTACTAACTAGTTGGATTTTACTAAAACAATTATTCCTCTCGCCCACATGGCCTATGAGTCAATAGCCCATTCGGCCCTCGGCCTCATGGGCTATTGACTCAGAGCCCATTCGGGATCGAGGAATAATTGTTAAATACATTTGGTTGGAACAAGATATACTGTGGAGCTGTTCTATGTTTAAAGGCTCGAGCCCTTGCCGCCAGATCTGTGGTTCTGTGCCTCCGCTTCCAGAAACGGGAAGCTTACAACATTTATCGTTCTGAAAGCACAGTTTCATTACTTCATTACTAAAAGCAAAGTGGCGGATTTTTCGTAGTCTGCGAATGCGTGGCAGGCGTTAAAAGGGGAAGGGGAAAGGGGAATTCTCCTTGGGGTGGGGCGCAAGGAGGAGGGGGGGGGGGGGAAAGGAACGGAATATCCCTTTTTCCCCCTTCTCAAGCGCCTGCCCCCCCCCCCTCTTCATCCTCGTTTAACCCCTACCCCGCCACTAAATTTCTCGTTAATCAAGATTTGGATAATTCCCGCAGATCATCTCAGATCATCTATAATTGTTGTACCTTGCTGTGCTTGTAACAGAACATAGCCGTTAGCACCTCCATGATTCTGTCTCGCTGCTCCTCAGAAAACTGGCCAAACTGTACTTGGAATGCTAGATCTCCTACAATATAAGGACAAGGTTAAGGTCAGGTAGACACCCTCACAAACCAAAGACAGAAGTCACAGTCAGCCCAGGCCACGTTTCATCCTGTCCGTTCTACCTTTTGCGTTTGCCTTAACGATCTACGATTCGCAAAAAGGATGTAGACAGCGTAGAGAAAAGTTTAAAGTTGATTTCACCCTAGTCTGTCAAAAGAGATCATCAAGGCACCCTAGCAGTTTCTCGTTACTGGTGGTAGGGACGAGCGAGGGGAAGCAGCGAGTCATATGAAGGTTTTTCGGAATTGTGGACAATCTTTTTCGAAACGCTTTGCTCTTCCCCAATAATAACTGCACAGGTACTACAGAACTTGATGTAATGTTAATAGTTGAGAGCTCTTTTGCGGATCTCATTTGTACTGCATGAATTCTTACTCTATTAAGTGTTAATGTATTGTTTTGCTATTTTTTTCAATTTCCCGTTATTTTGATTAAAAACAAGTGCCTTACCTTTCATACGTCCGCCCTTCTTATAGTCTTCATGACGTCGAGAAAATCTCTACAAAAGGAGAGGAAATTACATGACAAACAGTAAATATTACACTTTTATATGAAAATCAGTTTGTTATGTTCACCTTTACAAACCACGGACCAATTCTTACAGCACTGAAGCACATATAACTCTGCGTATCCAGCTCTAAACTGACCATCCAGTGGTCCCGTTCATTAAACTGTTCAAGATGCCTCTCACTTGTACGTTCTAAATTAGTTCTAAATTGAAAGTTAAATTTTGTTTGACTTCTAAACTTTTCCTCAGGAAACATCAAGACTTCAGGAGAAAAAAAACTTTCCGTCAAGAACCAAAAATGAACTATATGTTACCTTGCCCTCAAATATTTCCCTGATTTCACTTGAAAATTCCCACACCAGCTGCTCGGTTTGGTCTTCAGTGAGCTCCTCAATGGTACTGTAATGAACAAAATATGGAAGAAATATAGGTATAATAAATCATTTATTATATGGTTTAAGAAGTCATTTGTTGTGCTGTGATAAGTTAATTAGAGCGCTTAAGCAACCACCACCACCAAGACAACCTCAAAAAACAATTGGTTTCCTGAGCAAAACAACAGCTCTGCTACTACGACGTGAAACCTCCTATTGCGACGTTTTATGGAGGACGTGAACATACGACGGTGAATTTTCCTTTCTTTTTTTGAACCTGGATAAAGCTACAATTGACAAATTGAGCAGGTCCAAATGGAAGTAATAAAGGTTGAAACTGGGACACATTCATTTTTTAGCGACGTTTTCACTGCCTTCGTTGTCGTCGTTGCTTCAGCTCCCTCGATTTCTTGTCGGTAACCCCTTGTACGCACTGAGGATGAAATGAAAAAGATCTTTCTTTTTCCTACAATTCTGCCACAACAAGTGCGTCATCTCGACGAAAACGCCAGTAAAATGTAATAAGAAGTATAATATAAAGAGTTTTCTCGAATAAGCACTCAAGTGACACAGACGTTGATCACATAACGTAAGATAAGAAATACCTGACATTGAGGACAACAGGAGGTCTGTCTTCAATCGTGATTGGTTCCAATGGACTCGAACCGGGCTCCTCATCTATGAAAGAAAAAGAAATTCAAAAAGCAAGACTGTGTTTGCTAGAACAAAACTGCAAGTTTAGTTATAGACCAGGGCACAAAATATACCATAACGTGCAAAATTGCCGAAATGCATGGCGTTACTGGATTTTGTGCGGACCCCTGCAATTGTTGCTGGATCGAAATAATCTCTTTTCGTCTGCAACACGTTAAGGCTCGGTCTCCAGTAATTGGCGTGTCGATGCACCGGTGATAACAACACGTTCGGCACAACATTTCGGCGTGTGTCTACAACAATAAAATTGAAATGTTAATAATCACCTCTTACGTCTAAATCCGACCACTGGTCAAAAATGTCGCCCTGACGTGCGCAAATAGCCGCTAAGAGCAGCCTCGAAAACCTTACACACAATGTAACTCCGCTAGTGCTATTGTAAATGGACTACATTTTCACAATACTCAATTTCCTGTGCTGCGAAATGCAGTCTATCTCTGGCTTCTAATGCAACATTACTAACCCTCTAAAATATCACTTGTAGCTTTACTGGAAGTCGTCACTTGCCGTTTCTTAAGTTTCTTTTTGACTGGTTTACTAGTATGACTTTTCAATGAAGCCTCAGAGGTCATATTTGCCCTGCTAGCTTTTCTTGTCTTGTAGCTCAACTCTTTTTCCACACTGGTACTTGATCCTGATTGTTCACATGTCGACATACTTGAGCAGACTCCTTGATCATCAGACAGATCCGATCCTGTTCTCTTTTCGGCATTTCGTTTCGCCTTTGGCGTCTCAAAATCATTATCTTCAACAAACAGTGGTGACAGACGTAGTATAAGAAAAGAGAACAGAAATAGAACTAAATGTAAGTGTCAGAAGACAGAGAATTCTCTACGAAAGAACCGATTGGCGCTGGCATTTCTTCCGCCGTTAAGACTTAGTCTAAGAGAATTGGATCTCGGACGTTTTAAATTTGCCGTAATTGAGCTGGACGACTTTAAACTGTCAACTTTGTCACTGACAACAGTAACTGTTCCCTGTTTAGTCATATCATTAACAGTTTTATTCTCCTCATTATCAGTTAATTCAAATTCTCCACTCTTAGAAAAGTTGCCAGATGGATTTTGGACAGGAGTGCTGTTGCCACATTCGTGTTTTGTCTCTTTTAAATTAACAATGTCTTGACATGGTAGGCTGTCTTTAATATCTCGTTTTTCATCAAGCTGTTTAGCCCTTTCCTTGATTTCAACCTCGACAAAGTCACCAGAGCTACTGTTTCTTGTTTTACTACTTCCTTCTGATGTGAGTACAGGCTGTTGTTGCACGTTCTTTGAAGCCACAACTAATTCAGCTGCTAAATTTTCTTGACTCTCGACTTCACCACAACGATTTACCCACGTGATTTGGTCATGGTATTTTGCTCGTTCACTCTCTTTTCTGTCTGTTTCACCTCTCTCTTTCATAGAGCTGCAATCATTGTCAGAAGTGACACTAAGAAACGGACTGACCTTTTTCTGTGGGTCTTGTTTCTTATTCCTAAATGGATAAGAAACATAATTACAGACATAACATTACAGGGTGCAAAGAAAGTCAGTTTTACAGCTTGCCATTCGGCTAGCTGTAGCTAACATGTACTTGCCCAAACATCACTTTAACTAGCCCTAAGAGCTTTTTGATGATCAGGTTTGAATACACAGTCCTTCTGTAATTTGAATTCTCAAAAAACTTCACTTGCCCATCGGGCAAGCTTAGAACAAAAGTCACTAGCCCCATAGCAAAATCCTCTAGCCCTAGGCTATCGGACAGTACTTTCTTTGCACACTGTCACAAAATTTGCATGGCTGTCGCGGGTACAAAAGGTGAGAACTAATTCAGTTTAAGTCACTTGTTTGTAAATTCAACATCCCTGAACAACATCTATCTTATGAAATTTAGTTAAAATGTTAAAATTACGACCTTTCATTCACAAATAATGACCAAGGAAAGATGTAGACAATTCTACACTTCAACACTTTGTTTTGTTTCTCTTTTTTACTCAACACAAAAGTTAACTCTTCTCTACAACCATAAAAAAAAAATTATCCTCTTTTCATTCTAAACTGTGTGCCTGACTTCACTGGCACAAATTAATTAAACAACTCTCTAGCCACCTGCATCATTTTGCATAGTACGCTAACACATACATTGTACTTACAAATTTTTAAGAGCAGCTCTCCCTTTCTGGGTTGAAGGTGTCATTTCAGCGGTTCCTTTTTCAAAATACTTACTGATGGAAGATTTTTTTTTGGATGGTCCTTTTTTTGCAATATCTTGAGCCAACTTGAATGTAAAAAGAAGCAAGAAAAATGATAGAACTAATTACATAAATTATTATAACAAACTTAACCAAAGAAAAGAATATGGCTGAAATTTAAGGATTCAAAGTGGCTTGGAGTTAATATAGAGGTGCAAAACTCTTCACTCTTAAGATCTCTTAATAATGGTCCCCTGGTCCTTGAAACTTTCAATTTCAGTCTTTAACTTTGTACTTGCTGATATAATAATATTATCAGGTGATGATTAAGAGGAAAAATTCTGTTTCTCCTTTTCTTTGAAAGATTACATTACATAACAGTACATAAAACTGAGCTCTGATTGTATGCATACCCCTTGTACTGATGTGGTGGGATCCAAATCAATTTGGCTGACAGTTACTTTAATCTTCTCTGGAAAGATATTTACACGCTGATAACCACCACCTAACAAGAGACATGTTAACACACAGATCAGTAATGTTAACATCATTTCCAAAGCAAGGTCTGTAAGTTTGAAAGGATTACAGGGATTTAAGAAAATTGGAATTTCTGCTTAGATTAGAAGATGACTTATCTGAACCTTTGCCCATTGGGCAAGTAAACATGAAAAGTTACTTGCTCAACAGGAAAATCTTCCTGTCCTGGACCAACAGATCGGCCAGATGGGTGGGGAATTTTTCTGAGGCTAGTATCAAATTTGGTGCATTCTCACCTGAATAATCAGCCTTCTGTGTATTTTTCCTTCCACCATCCAAAAGTGATTTCTTTAAGAGAATGAACAACAAAAAATGTAACATACATACCTAAAGTTTGAATCCATTAGTCTATAATAATTATAGACTAATGGATTGCTTTGTTTTGTTTTTGTTAAGGAATCCTTTGCGTGCATTAAAATATTATTTTAATACACGCAACAAAAAGCAAATGACCAGTAGTCTGATTTCAGAGCTCACTTCTTTCTACACTCACTTTCTTATGTTTGATGTTAATACATCAAACATTATAAGTCAGAGAATTTTATCTGATATCCAGTCACTAAGATGTAAGTTGAGACACTGCAACATAGACTACTCTGTTTTTTAGACTGACCTCAGGGTACATGTTCCTGAACATTTTGATAAAAGACAACGTTTCATACAGCTCCTCGAATTATCAATGATTTCGAAGGAATTTTAGACAAAGTTCCAAAAATTCTATGACAATATTATTATCCAATCTCAAAATTCCTTTCTGGTAATAATTTCTTTTGTTTTCTTTTAATTCATAAATTATTCATAGCATTTGAGAAGTATGTGCATTGCAGGAAATATAATAGAGTGCTCCATTTATGACCACTTTCCATTAATGTCAATGTTGTTCTCACCTGTTTTGAAAGACACAAAGCAATCTGTTTGGATTGCCTTCTTCTCACAAAATAATATTGTATAAGAAGCTCAGGATCTATGGTGAAATGAGTAAAACATCATTGAAGGAGCAAAGACAATGTTAAATAATTTTAGAAGAAATGTTGTATCAGTCTACATTTTCTCGTGGGTCAGGGACCTTAATCCATGTTTTAAACATTTTAGAGTTCAGACTCTAGTGATTACATTTTCCCAGGAGTGGGTTACTACATTATTTATTATTATACAATACAGTTGTAACTGTAACCACACACAAAGACATGACTTCCCATTGCTTGGTGGGTGAGTTTGAAGCTGGGCTCATAAAGACCTCAGCATATTTAAGAACTGACTGTATAACACCGCAGGTGGTGAAAAATAAAATGGTAACAGTAGGTGGGGAACAAGATCAGGAAGTTAGAACACTGGAATTGCAATCAGGAGATCACAGATACATGTCCTCCTCTAATCATTAGTTGCAGTTGTTCCTTGGTATTCTGAAGATGGAAAGATTGTAAAGTACATTGTAGTTGCACTTCTGTTAAAAGTGGTAACTAGAATAGACTTTCACAGACTGATTGGCTATCAAGAAACAAAGTGGCCCTACAAATCAACTTTAAAGATTTAAGACGTTGTCTTACCGGGCAGAATATCAGCATTATCACGGACCAAGCTTTTCCCTGATTTCTTTACTTTATTAGTTTCTAGTGGAGCTAAAACTCTTGCTAGAATAACATCCTCCAGTTTCAAAATTAGCCTCTATGGAAAAAGATTTAGAAAGTGTGTGAAATATTTCGTCTTTCTCATGCCAAAGCTGTGGTCTAAGGAAAAATGAAGGAAGCTCAGCATTCTGAACCTGTCAAATCCAGAGGACCCAGCATATGATTTTCATGAAGAAAATTAAGATTTCCTAGTCGCCCAAGAGCAAAAGCAAGGTGCAAGGGACACTGGGCACTCCTAGCTCCATCACAGCCCGTATACTTCCTATTTACGAGTCATTTACATCATTTGTTATTAGGATCAACAATCTGAAATGGACCTTGAATTACTAATAAGATGAAATACCTGTACTTACAGAAAAGTGTTCGTCAGTGAACCATCTGTAACTGTTGGCTTTATTAATCCTTGTAGGCTTGACACCAATTTCCACTATCATAATCCCTTTTCCACGTACCTTAAAATAAGCAGATCCCTAAAGTTTAACCTTTGTTATCAGTGGGTAACTTCCTGCATCTGCATCCCCAATTCAACTGTTATACATATCTTGGTCAATATATCAAATGAGGGTCGGTCGATATGTCAATCGAGATATCGGTCAAGTGTTGGTCAATATGTCAAGGGGTGCACAAATTACACATGATCCAGATTTCCCATGTTAGTGTAGGGGTAGAGAAAGCCCAGCAGTGCACCTCCACCCCTCTGAAATACATCCAAAGGCATAACTAGGGGGATTGAGAGGTGCTTTTAACTCCCCTGCCCTTATGAGAGGAATCACTAGAATCCTGTGTCTCAATGATGATATTTCAGCCTTCTTACATGCAAATGTTTTGCAATAACCACTGTTTGAAAGATCACTTGTCATTTTGTTGCAAATTTGTCTGGTATCAAAGATCTTTCATCTGCCATTCTTGTATGAGCCAAAATTTTGTCTTTATAAACAACATATTTGGTTCTTCACGCCATGTGGCTTGCATATAAAGTATGCAGCTATTCTGTAGGGTTGCCCTTTCATGCCTCTCCCCTCCCCATGTAACTGCTTATCTGAGAAATAATTTATCTCTCAGTCACAGCATGAATGTTAACATGTCAATCTGGTAAGCACCCTGGGGGTGTGACACTATGTGACCACCCCCCCCCCCTGAAAAATCCTAGCTTCTTTTCCACCACCGATGTATTTTCCGTTTTTTACAGCCAAGCCAAACGAGCTACCAATACAAGCACGGCTTCAAAAGTGCCCCTGTCTGCTAACCTTGACCATTAAATGTAAGATATTTGTTTGCAGATGATATACCACGTATGAAAAACATTCTCCCTCGGTGTATAAAGCGAAATGGAAAGATCAGCATCAAAATTGCATTGCTCGACCAACCTTTGAATAATCTTAACTTTTAAAATTTTTAATCATATGGCTACACTTACCTTTGCAAATATTGTACTGTTCTTCGCAATCAGGGCCATTACAATCAAAATATAAAACAAAATACCCGTCAACTCAACCCAACAAACCGACATGAACTCAGGCGGGAAATGCTCAGTCAGAAAGTAGGACTGGGTAACAGCACCGGAAAAGGGAAAAGGACTGGGGATTAGTATGTTTAAAAATGGCGCCTATGAAGCGCCTATGTAGATTTTATTACGTCTAACCAAGAGGAAGTGTTTTTTATCATGAATATTTCATTTGAAGTTGCCTAGCATACCGCAAACTTACGAAGGGACCTGTATTGCTATCAACGGTTGACTGCCGCTAAAAGTGGACGTGGGAACATGGCGAAAAGTTACGATTACTTGTTTAAAATTTTGCTTATCGGAGATTCGGGTGTAGGAAAAACTTGCATTCTGTGCAGATTCGCGAACAACGAATTCAACAGATCGCACATCTCAACGATAGGTAAGCCTATTCGCAGTTCTCCTTGCTTCAAAATCATTGTTTATATCAGCAGGTAGTTAAATACCTGCCACTCAAGATGCTAAGAGAAAATGTCCCTGATTTGTGCTTTTACAGGAATTGATTTCAAAATGAAGACGATCGTAGTGGAAGGCAAACGAATAAGGATACAAATGTGGTAAGCTAGGCCTTTATGTCGATCGGTTTCCGGTGATTCGGCTTAATGATTTTTATAACTGGTGGGAATAAGTGGGATTTTGAATTGTTGATAATTTGTACTGTACGACTATTTCATTAATGTTAATCGTTATCAAGGGATTCGAAACCAAAGTGTACCAAACTATTACTTCATCAGGAACGCTTTGGCTCAAAACTACCGCGTCACCACAGGAAGCTTTGAACTCTATAGAGCTAAATTTTCGTGGCTCTTCTTACCCGCAGCGTTTCGTTTTTTTGTATAGTTATCGAAATGACTGGCTGATTCGAAAATCTTATCTAGTGTTAATTTTTTTGTTTTTTTCTTTACTGAAAAATCAATATAAGCTTAAATGTACGGTAGCGTGACCTTGGATGATGAAAAAAAAAAAAACCAACGCGAGGATGCGGTAGTTTGACGTAGAGCTATGTATCGATATATTTCTCAACCTCCTACGATAGAGTTGTGCGAACAGGAAAGAAAAAGAAATTAAACTACACCTATAAAAGTTCAAGTGGTCATCTGACAACAAATTAAATTTAAGCATCCAAGATAGCTATTTTGCCCAGTCAGTTCTGTTACCAATACATCAGCTATATTCGCTTTTCTTTGAATTCAAGGACGGGTGCCATATATCGGCATGAAAACATTAATTTTAGGCACAAATAAACTCAGCTGCAACGTCCTATTTCAGTTTCTTGCCCTTGTTTTTTCAGCTGCCCGTTTCTGGTGAATAAAATTTCATTCAGATCAGATTGTGCAGTTAACTGCTCTGAGACGGTCGAACTTAAAGTTGACGTTTCTCTCACTGTTATCTGAATAGCCACTTGTTTTATGTGTTTTCTTTTTGCCATGATATAAAGAGCAGCTAAGGGTTTTATTCACGAAGAATATCATAGGTATTGGCATTAGAATTTCAAGAAGTAGACTTAAATGTCTTGAAATGAATGTTCCCGGCTTTAAGTATCTACAGAAATATATCTTCATTGAATAATTAAATGGTGGGGTTGTAGATTTCCCATATAACTCGCATTCTAGTAGATTTTATTTATATTTCCTTTTCTTAACTTTTTTGTTCAACAATAACTTGGATTACATTGATAGAAATTATGCAAAGGGAGTCTGTAATTGAACATCTTTGACACAATGTGGTTAACAAATGATATCATATTTTTTTCTTAGATAATCTAATAGTTTATTGTCGTGACTACACTTTCTTTATTCTTTTGGGTCGTCATAAAACACAGAAGAAGTGTGGTTAACTATGTGTATAAACTGTTTTTACTTGTTGCTGTTTCATTCCCCAGTGCATTAAATAGTGACTTTGAAGAGTAACTTAATGATGGATACTTTGTCTCATTAGGGACACAGCTGGTCAAGAAAGATATGAAACAATAACAACACAGTACTACAGACGAGCGCATGTGAGTAATAAACACCATATCATGGAGAAAACTATTCTTGAAACACATAAAAGAAAGTTCATCAGAGGTTTCAGAACCTATCCACATCCAAGGGCTCTGTTGATGTTTCAATAATGAACTGATCTATAATGTGGCATAAAAAAATCTTCACTCTTTTATTGACCCTTTATGTCATCTAGAAAAAAATAAATAGCTGAGAAGAATTATAAAAAAGTTTTTTTAATAATTTTTTTACGACTGTATATTTTCATATTCAAATCTGTTTCATCTTGTTGCAAGTTCTTCCAAAAACAGGGTGCAAAGAAAGTCAGTTTTACAGTCTGCTGTTTGGGCAAGCTGTAGCTAACATGTACTAGCCCACAAGCCTTTTCAAGTAGCCCCAAAACCCTTTTTGATTAACAGGATTACAATCGTTCTGTAATTTGAATTTCCCCAAAAAATAGCACTTGACCGTCGGGCAAGTTAAGAACAAAAATCACTAGCCTGATAACAAAATCCACTAGCCCGGGCTATCACTCTGAAAAATGTGACACTTCTCCTGTGAAAGACGCATTTAGTTTTTGTTGTTTTTAATAATAATAATAATTAAGATTCGTCTGTTAAATTATCAACTAAATTTTGATTTTTTTTTATTGAGATAAGAAGATGACATACCCAAACAAAAATTCACCCCACAAGATAATGAGTATTTCTATTCTTTTTCCCCATTCAGGGAATAATTCTGGTCTATGACATCACAAGACAAGAAACTTTCAATAACATTCGAAAATGGCTTAGATATGTTGATGAGGTAAGCGTTGTCTAGTCAAATAATCCTTAAATAGCTTTATTTGACAAGAAAGTAGGAACTTCCTATTTAACATGAAACAAGGAAGTGTCAGAGACAGTGCTTCCTGTTTTCTCTTCTTAACATGGAACAAGAATGTATGAAGCAAAGAAAAGTTGTCCTATCTTTCATTAGACATCGAAAATCTGTACAGTTTAAATAATAATAATTTTTTATTGATCTTGCCACTGGTCAGCTTTCCAGTAAGTGGACCCCAATTAAAGAGTTTAGCTCTCTGATTCAGGCTAATTTACTTGAATTCAAACCAATCTTTACATGGTGCTGTTGTAGATCTCAAAGCAAAATATATCCTATGCCCTTTTCCCACAGCACAAGTTTCTCTTGTTAATTATTTTCATTTTAATTCAAATTTAGCACGCTAACAACAATGTTCAAAGATTACTACTTGCAAACAAATGTGATGCAGAAGATGAGAGAAAAGTATGGAAAGATCAGGGAGCCAGGGTAAGTATTTTGCTGTGTTTTAAATACCTGTCCTAGATAATTTTTTGTAGACTTTCTTCACTACTTCTGTCTGATTTGTCACCTTTTTATCGGCCTTAACCTTTTAAGCCCCAAGAATGATCAGCATCAAATTTCTCCTTGGAATATCAATGCTTTTGTAAAACAGAGTGGTCATGAAAACTACGGACATGATCACACAAGATGAATTTGCTTGATATTTTATCACCTTCTCCCTACTACTTCTGTAGGAAATGAATAGGGGCAACACATGAGAATTCAAATTTTGATCTTAAGGTTTAAAGGGTTAAATCGCTGACTGGCTTACTAGTTGTAAGACTTGTTGTCTCATGAGACTCGTAACCCTTAAAATAATAGCCTATCAAAAATTTGGAAGCCTGCTCATAAATAAAATGTTCTTTTTTTTATTCAGTTTGCGGCAGAAAAAAATATTAAATTCTACGAAACAAGTGCCCAGTCAAATATTAATATAGATGAGGTAAGGGTATCATAATTCCTTGATATTTAAGTGTTCTGAACAAAAATAATGTAGAAAAAAGCATATGCACTCTACAATAATTTGAATAACTTTGACTCTGATGAGGAGGTTCATACAATCAGTTGTTAGCAAAAAGCATCAACAGTCTTTATGTAGTGCTACTTTCTGGTAGAACACTATCTCAAATGGTCATCTTCAACCTACAAGTTTGTGACAATTCTTCCATTTAAAACTTAGAAATGCACTGGGACAAGACAAAAAAAGAGTTAATGTCATTTAAAATGGCAATTTCCCTTGTTTGTTGTCCTAGTTCTTTGTTTCCTTCCAGCATGCATGTAACTCAGTTTCTTTAAATCGTACAGCCTGTTTGTACATTGTATGAGAACTGAATGGTAACTCTATATTTTCTTTTAGGCCTTCACAGAAATATGTCGGCAAATTTTACAAGAAATGGATGAGAATAATCAAGTTAGTATAATGTGCATTTTCAATGAAATATTCCACTGATTGATTTCCAATTTTTTAGCCTTCACTCTAATAAACCACTCAAACTACAAAGAAAAAACATTGAACCCACCATAATGGACTTAAAGCAGTTTTTCATTATGTGGGTGAAAATGTCTGTTATGACCTCCTTCAAATTCTATGTCATTTCAACATATTTTCCCATGGTATCAGAATGACTGTGTTTATCATCTTTTTTTTAGAATGGAACCATGCTATCCCCCAATGGTCAATCGAGATCCAGTGCTATTCTCCTTGACACAAAGAATGAAGTTCTTCCGCGCAGTTCTTGTTGTTATTAAGATAGAACTTACAAAATTATTTTATGCTATAATATCAGTAGTTTATTATCAATAACAAAAACCTAATTATTATACTAACATTACCTACCTCACCTACACAATGCTTGTTCTCTGGTGATATACCCGCCTTTTATCTCCTTTTAATGGGGAATAGATTACTCTTTTGACAACCCTGCAGAACAGGCGTTATTTTTGCACATTTCTCAGGCAGGCAAAGGCAAGGGCAAAATGAGCCAGGGGTCCCAGACATGCGACAGGTAGTTCGCTTGAATGTAAAAAAGACCTGAGTTCGTGCAAGCTACTTTTGACCAAAAATTATTGGCAAAGATAACACTTCTGACGTGGCTGCTTTCACAATGTTAAAGAAGCCAGAATAATATTAAGTGTTTGTTCAAAACACGTCCACACCCACTCCTTACAATGAAGGTCATATGGCGTAACCTCCTGCCCCACAGGGATTCCAAACCATTCCTGCTCTACATATCTGACCTTCCAGGATTGAGTATGGAAATTACATAGAACAACACATTTAAATAGGGTACCAGTAATGTAGTTATATGAAGATGATTTTATTTATTTTATAATGACATCAATCAATTTATTTCAACATGTAGCCATTCTGACACCAGAACTAAGCTGCAGTGAATGTGTAATATAGTAAACAATGGATGGAACAGTGTACAAACCCTCTATTTTGATCAGTCTGAGTAGTATTTTGTGATTTTGCTGTATGCCTTTCTCAATTCATTAGAAACAGCCTTTAGCTCCAAACTCAATCTTATGTAAATAATTATTTTGTAGTTATTTAGTAGCCTACACTGTATATTCTTCTGTATGTTCTCTAAAAACTATTTTGTTGTTGCAGACATCCGTTCTTCTTCTTTTGGAGGAAATATAACAGATTGGACAAAACGTTGTTAATTGTAATATTAATAAATTAACATTAGTATAAAATGTCTGTTGTGCAGCAAAGGGCCCATGGACCTTTCGGACTAACTTAAGATATCTTTGCAATAAAATTTTGAAGAGGAAACTGTCTTTCCCTGCCCGTTATTGAAGCTGCAAAGTACATCACTTCCATACTATGAACTCTCCCAATCAGTTGTTTAGAGTGATTGCAGAGTTCACATACAAATCCTATTAAGTGTAGTAAAAGCTGTTACAAAATATCAAAGCTGTGTTCTAGCAGCATCCAGTGGTCCCTAGCACCTTACTTTAGCCCTTAGGTGACCAGGAATTAAACTTTTTTTTTTCTTCATAGAAGTCCTATGCTGGGCACTCTGTATGTTTCAGAGTAGTGGACTTGACCTTCATTATTTAACCCTTTAAGCCCCAGTATCCACATACAAATTCTCCAGACTGATCTTCATACATTTCTTTTAAGAATAGTTGAGAGAATTTGGGTTACGATCAAAGCCTTCTCCCTTTGGTAATCAATTTAGTAATGCTCATAACCTTTACTCTTGATGATCTGCGGATGTTGTTACGAGAAAATTGATGTTGGTCACTCTTGGGACCTAAAGGGTGAAGCACGGCCTTGAATGTAGACTGGCATTTACACCACAAACTGTTTTCAAATATTATTTTTTTCTGCAATATTTTGACAATAGCAAGTTTTGGGAGATTGCATGGCCAAAAATTTATTGAGGCAATGCTTCAATATATCATTTGCATGGTAAATTACAGAAAAACAAATTTCCCTCCAGTTATAATCAGTCCAAAAGTTCCCCCCTAGGATAAAAGACATTTCAAACAAATGGCACTAGTTACATCTCAAGATTTTGACTACAGAGCTATAAGTTATACTCCACTACATATCCTATTACATTGCCCTTGAGATTTTAAGGGTTGAATCAGTCAAAGTAGAGTCACAAAATGGAATCAGTTACACTGCTTTGCAATCCCACATGAAAGGACTGCTGACATCTTGATAGTCAAAGTATTAAATTTTTGTAGGGAAGCGTTACAGTCAAGCCAGGTCAAGCGTACCCCCCAAGATCCCATTAATGAATTTATTATTTGAAAGTTGAATCCGTTTGTAGTTGTAGATTTCAGATTCATCTCTGCATTCTTGCATGCATAATGAACCATGAATTCACATGCAAGGCAGTTACGAAATTTCTACCAGCTCAGTTTCCCCGAACTTGATGGCAATGTCTTCTGAAAAATATAATCAATTCAAAGATTTTCAGTCTTACCAAATACAGAGAAATTCTTGTAAAAGATTCACTGCTCATTACGCACGCAGGGATGCCAATTTGAACGACTAACGGATTCATTTGTCAAATAATCAATTCATTAATAGAATCTTGAGGGGTACACTTGACCTTCCTTGACTGTACCTGGCAAATCTATGAGGAACAGTAGCACTCTGTCAACATTTGCAGCAGTGTTAAAACAATATTTTATTGTGAACTAAGCACCATTTACATGATCATCAATTTAAACATGAATAGCACTTCAAGGAGCATTTGAGTTGGGTCCCCGCCTCTTTCCAAATCCAGCAACGACGTTAACAAATCGCCTGTTGTACTGCATTCTGCGCTTAGCACGACCTGTCCTCTTTTTCTTTTTTTCTTGCTTATCAACCTGAAGAGAAAAACAGCAATGTAGTTACTTCTAAATGAGGTTCACAGTTGTGTTCCTCGGTTGTGAATAATATGCCCACAACTAGACAAGGTTTTGACATAAAAGTTTTCTTAAGGTCTCAATCTGCTGTATAACTTAACACTTATACTCCCATCTTTATCACTGACTGGTTAATTATAAGTAGCAGAATAGAATACTAATTGAGAGAAATCAAGATCCCCCACAGTTCAACCAGCTTAATGTACAACTGCATGATTTACAGCACAGCGACCTACCTTGGGTGTCTGGCCTTTTACTTTACCAGCACGGGCCAAGGACCCGTGAACCTTACCTAAAAGTGAAGAAAAGTAATGTAAAAAGTAAACACAACATACATTACCATTGTACATTTATTTTAGGAATTATACTACTCTCCAAAAGCAGCTACTTTCACAGCTACAGCTAGTGGAATTGTCAGGGGGAAATTTCCATTCTCAGGTTGAACAAATATTTAACATATAAGGCAGGGCTCGAATTTGCAACTGATATGGTCGCCAATGAAACTAACATTTTCTCCTTGGCAACAAAAAATTCTGGTTTTTTTTCTCTACAATTTAGATTAAAATAAATTATTAAACGACTAAAGTTAAAACAAAAATTTCATCTTATCTTGCTTTGCTTTTGTCATAAAAAAATGGGCCAACGAAAGTCAAACGATCAAATCTGATGGATGGCGCCATACTATGAGCTGTGTCATTTACATTATTCAAACTGGAAACTAAAAATTTACATCTGGCGACCTGAGGATTTTTGAATTTCGAGCCCTGTAAGGTGTAGCTTTTTGCTAAGGTTCTAACCCTGGTAACATACGTTGAATACATATGCTGCGAACCTTCACTACACTACGAAACTTGCCAAGAGTTCCATACAGTTTCTACAAACCCCTGAGAACAGATTTTGGCAAGAACCATTTTTGAACAACCAAGCCTGATCAGTGACTATACTGCAAACACCTTTAAGTGTTTAACTTAGGCATGAATTGTTAGGAATAATATTCTTCCCGTCTTCACACACCAAAAGAATGTGGTAGTTTCTTGGTGTTGCGGACAGGTGCTATCACCAAATGACGTAATACAAAAGATTGTAAAGACCCTGAAAATACCCACGCAATAACACAAAAGCGATTCAACCAATAATGGTTTCTGCAACACCAAGAAACACCCAAGAATGTAGTTATTGCCAAGGAAATAATTTACTGCAGTGTACTGTTTTGATATGGTTACTATTACAAAGTTAGACTGTACATCAGCAAAAAACAAAATTGCAAGTGTCTTCGATTAATCATAGTCCGGAATAAGAATACACAAAAGTCTTGTTGCAAATCTCTTCTACTGGCAAGACTTGACCGTAAACTCTTATAGGAGCTTTTTACATGGCATTCGTTTGGTTGTAATTCATCCTGTTGTTGGTTAACTGTAATACCTGTAGACAACATCACTTTGACACATTTACAACCAGTTTTGCTACTTGCTGAATTCGCTACATCCTAGTTCGCGACACGTTCAGTACGGGCACGATCCATTCAACCAAAAAACTCAATGGATCGGTTCGGTCCAACCAGAAAAGTTTCGAAAAAACAGGTCGACCTTTTGAGGTGGTCCTCTTTTCCTGGTCGGACCAGTCTGAATTTTGGTTGAATGGATCGCCCCCTACATATTACTTTCTCTAGACCATTAAAAATATTTCTTTAATCCAACTAGGAAAAAAAAAATTAAAATATTTCTCGTTCCTTTAAACTTGCTCTTCCAAAGTTGCAAGTTTTGGACTTTTACAATAGGCAACAAGCCCAGCACAAAGGTAGCGAACTCGGAGGCAAAGAATTTGACAAGTAGTAAAACCAGTGTAAAGCGTTCATCCCAGTATGTGCATTCAAACGTTTGGTTATTTTAGTGCTGCAATAAGAATGCACACAGATGTTATGTAAATGAAGTATTGCTACTTTCTTAAAGTAATATGTTTTCTGCCGGTATTAAGGTAACGAATAACGAGGTGAATAATGGGATTTATTGTGATCAGAACGAAAACATCTATTTGAAAACGGTTTATACGTCAACATAAAGTACAAAATTTTATACCTCCAAGCAAGCGGAGGCCAACTTCCAGAGTAGACAGATCAGCTACCCCACAATCCAAAAGACTCATTCCATCCTCAAGTGGCTTTCCAGCATAAAAGAGAACTTGTTCGTCGGCTGGGATGCCCTCGGCGAAGGCTATTTCGTTTTTGAGAGCTAACACACTCTCGCCACCGGTTACGTCGAAAGTATGGAGATTTTCTCCGCGCACAAAAAGCTGCATCTTGAGTTAACTATCACGAAAGTAAACTACAATAAGTATTTGATGTATTAAGATGCAGAAGGCCTCATATCTTGAACCTTTATGGTATAAAAATATGGACTTTTTACTTACATTTCTCAACAATTACACGTGGTGGTGCAACCGAATTTTCGAAGAGGAAGGATTGTATTACTGCGCAGCCATTTGACGCATGGCGCGCAAGGCATGATTAGTTGAGCCATCAAGAGGTCAGCGTTTGTACTTCATGTACATCATTACCAGGGTAAAGATGGCGACTGCCAGATCACTGTGCAAAGTTTGCAGGTCATTTCTCTCTACGAATGTGATCCTGCAATCACAAACTGGTCAAAGATCAGCAAAGGTTAATAGTGCAGTAGGTCTTGAATTTGGCAGATGTTTTATAAATGTTTTTTGATTTTCCTTTTGTGATCTTTTTAGATCGCAAGCCATCTTAAAAAATCACCACAGACAACTAACAGAGTGACATATGTAATCAAACCAGAAAGGTTAAA